TGGATCTCCAAAAGGTGAGAGGCGGGTATGAAAAATTATGGGCGCTGGCTGAACAGAAAAATTTGGATTGAGCCGAACATAGGATTCTAAGGGCTTCTCCAGGGGCAAGATAAGCAGGAGCTACAGTGTTACCGACAGGCTTATGTGCTTGTGGATTGGGGTTCCGTGGCCGATCACTGCTATTGTATTTAAGATTAGTGGTTTAGTTCTCTCCATGAAGGGATGTTTAGAAATTAATATTATAAGGGAAAGTGAACGGGTGAACTTGGTCTTACTATCTAGCGAGGACAGAGCCATATATTACATGCCAGTTTCAATGATACACTACTGGTAGCCTTTTCCTGCTGTTAATGTCCTGGTGTCAATGTCCCCGATGCCGTGTTACAAGACTCAGAATTCCACCGCCTGTTCAATGCTACAAGTAAAATGGCTACTCTATAATACCAATGGTACTAGTACAGCTAGATTTTCTTACATCCTGGAAGGAATTCGAAGACCTCAATGACGCCCACTCTTTGTCGTGCCCCTCCCGCCCCAGGGAGGTCCCTAGTGGGTCTGATTTGGGAGATAAGGAGGACATGGCTCTTGATTTCTATGATCATTGTGGTCATAGTTTCTGCATAGGCGTTTTTATATGCGTACATTACCTTGTATTGTGAGGTGTTGGCCTTTTAGGCCATACCTCAGTGTGCATGTCATAGATTTTCCTGTAGTTAGTTGCAAATAAACCGCGGATTTGACAATAATAATAATAATCTTACCTCTCGGAATATGGTACCGGCATCATGGCACGGCATTTGACACCATTGGGTTACCTCAAATTCCCAGCAGCTGAGATTTCCAAATTTTAAATTTATATTTCTGTAGTGGCTCGTGCATAGCCATGCCAAGACCAAGGGGCAAAAGCCCGAAAGACAATTTTTGGTCAGTCCCTTAGGCTAGCTCTCGCTTTCTTATCATATCAAAACAAAGTCAACAAGGCCTTTTTATTGACTGAAAGCATGAAACGAAACTTTGGTCAATATTTTTTAGCCAGAATGTCAACAGCTTCAACCTTTCCATCAATAATAACAGCTACACAAATCTTACGACGGCCATAGAGGAGAGGTCGCAAATTCTTGAGTGGATATCCCCCTTGAAGTCCTAGAAGAGGCACCGTGATATATCGACCACTCGCGTTAAAGGTGTGGGGAACTGGGTTTTGAGAACCGTAGAGTACCAAACATGGCTACACGAGAGGAACCCCAGATTGGGGCACAGGACTTTGTTCTGTCAAGGGATTCCGGGAGCGGGAAAGACTTTTGTTTGGTATTATAGCTTGCCTTTCATATCAACCGCCACTGCCACTAACCCACTAACCAGGTGCTTTTTTAGCTCTCTCATTGTTGACACTTTGTGTGACAGCACCGCGAGACCAAACGCTGGGATTGAATTTCTCTACTGTGATTACCGGGTGCAGGAAGGACAGGTCCCAGTAAGCATGATGGGCAGCCTCCTGAGGCAGTTTGTCGCCGGTCTACCACACATACACGAAGAATTCGTCAATGCTTTCCAGACGTCGAAGGGGCGACTCGGGGGACGAGCTCTCCAGCTAGAAAGGATCCTAGAAATGC